TGTCATTCTGGAGATTAAGGTATGCCTGATCTAAGCCATGGTCTTTTACAATTACCTGTTATGCATCAGAGAGCTGGACAATGACTAAAAAGGACAGAGGAACTATTGATGCTTTTGAGTTGTTGTATTGGAGAAGAGTACTGAACAGACCATGGACTGCCAAGAGAACAAACAAGTCTGTCATCGAGAGGGTGAAGCCAAGTTGTTCCTTAGAGGTAAAGGACATCATGTTTGCAAGGGTAGAGGGACAGTGCAGGAGGCACAGAGCCTGGATGAGACTGACTGTGTTTGGGGTAAAAAGGGTAAGTATGTCAGAGACTGTGAGATTGGGCGAGGATAGAGCAGGGTTCCGAGCTATGAGTTATGGTTGAATTAATGGCATTTAGCAAAAATAGGGCACTTGTGCTCTACCAAATTAGGTTGTTATGAGTTAAAATTAACTCTTCGGTGATAGGTTTGGTTTATTATGATTGAAACAAAGACTAAGGGGAGCTCTGGTGGCCTAGTGGCAAGGAGCTGCAACTACAATCCTAGAGGCGCACGGTTCGAATCCACCAGATGCTCTGCCGGGAAAGGAGGGACAATCTCCTCCTGTACCAGTCAGATCTGATTTGATGGTACACTCACACAAAAATAATAAAATTTTTAAAAAAAAAAAGAAAAGAAACAAAGACTCTGGAAATGAAGACTAGAGATTTAAAAGAGCCCGGGTAGCATGGGCTCTAAACTAAAAGGTCAGTGATTTGAATCTGAAAGGCACTGTGTGGTGAGAGGGTGTGCTACTACAAAGAGTCATAGCACTGGGAAACCTATGTGGCAGTCCTATTTTGTCAGTACTAGTTAAAACTAACACAGTGGAAGTGAGTTTTCATTTCTGTTTCTAAGAATAGACAGAATTAAAATGTACTTACTGCTCTCAAATTATAGCTGATGTTCTTGCTGAAAATACTTTACAACATTAAATGTACAATTTTACAAAACTTTACAAGTAAACAAGTCAGACACTCAAGTCACACTTATTTCCTTTAACAACTTCTCTCATCTGTTTCTTACAGTGCATATATCTTGTCCTCTTGTCTACCTATTATGATTCTTATATATTCTGTGTTCTTTGTTGTTGTGTACCGAAGAGTCAGAACTGACTGACAGCTTAATTCCAGCAGGTTTTCAGAGGCAGTAAATTAAAAGACTGTCCATCTTTTTCCTGTGAAATATCTGGTGGATTCAAGCTGCGTGCCTTTGGGTTGGCAGCACAACTGTACCGCTAAGTTACCAGTGTTTATCTGTTCTTTAGGTTAGCCTAGTAGCACAGAGGAGTGGACTTAGGGGGGAGGGACTGAGTAACAATGAAAGAGTTTTTCTTTTACTTTTCAAAAAGAAGGGCAAACTGGGGGGGGGGAAGGGGGAGGGAGAAAGTGCAACAATGAATGAATGGAAATCCAGAGTCTCTGTAAATCTTCCATCAAAATAAAATTAAATTAAAAAAGAGAATGTTGAGGAAGTAAAGGTCTAAGCTTTAGTATTTTGTTTGTACCATTACATACACAGCAGTCTGATGTCCTCACATACTACTGACAACAAATATATTCTATACCTCCCCATCTGTTTTTGCTTCAAATAGTTTTTTATACTGTTTAATAAGATGTTTAAGAGTAAAATATGCACAATATGAATAAATCATATAACTACCTAAAGAGATTACAATGTAGTAAATTACTAAAACTATAAACACTATTATGCAAAATATTTTTCACTGAAGAATATATATTTTGATACTTTATATATCAAAGTTTCAATTGTATCCTTAAATTATAGAATTACATATAAAATAGAAAATTTATTTTTAAAAAACACTGATCTTAGGGGAGCTCTGGTGGCCTAGTGGCAAGAAGCTGCACTGCAATCTCAGAAATATGTGGCTCGAATCCACCAGATGCTCTGCTGGAGAAGGAGGGGCCATCTCCTCCTGTACCAGTCAGATCCAATTTAACAGTACAAAGACACAGAAAATAATAATAATAACAATAATAATAATAACAACAACAACAACCACCAAAAAAACCCCACACTGATCTTTAATTATGCAATAAAAATTCCTATTTACCTGCTGAAATCCTAGGTAATCTTGTATAGTGGATGAAGCATAAAATATCAAAGCATCTGTAGTTACAACCAACACAAATCCATTCAGAGCCTATAGGGAAGAAAAAGAAAACAGAATGATAAAGAACTGGCTCAGAGTAAGCCACGCAGTATAGCTGGAATGCACAGAAGAAAACAGAAAGCATGTTATTTGAACCTAAATTTATTAGTAATTATAGTACACTGAAATGGACTAAATGCTGTATTTATTTCATAACTTTTATATTTGTATTACACATACATTTTATATTTTATGGGTATTACATATATCTTGTTTTTCAATAAAAAGTAACCATTTTATATGTTGAGAGTATTTAAATTTCAAGTAGCAATGACAGTTGAAATGTATTTGCACAAAAAGTTTTTCCTATCTGGATCTCTGTAAGGATTATTGTTGTTAAGTGCCGTAGAGACATAGATAACCCATTGCAACCCTGTGAATAAAAGTCTTGACCACAAAAATTTCATCTTTCTCCAAGTTCATAGAGCTTCCGGAGGCAAGCCTTTTGGAAGTGGATGCCACTCCTGCTTCCAAGCCTGTTTTATTTGGGAGATAAAACTGAGGTGGAAACATAGGTGACTCTCCAGTGATTTTCAGAGGAAACTGCCCATCTTTCTCTCATGGAGCAGCTAGTAGATTTGAACTGTGTGCCTGTGGGGTGGCAACACAACTCCTTACCACTAAACCACCAGAGTTTCAACTATTTTCCAAACAAATTTTTTAGGTATTCAATGGTTTGTATGGATTCTCCAAAGAATTCAATAAATTAGGCACCATATTCCAGTTTCATTAAAAAAAAAGTGACAGATAAAGAAAGATGCAGTAACTCCTAAAAGTTAGAGACTTAAGAGGTCAAGTCAGTTTGGCTCCAAATCTTGTCCATCTAACGATCATGGTGCATAGCGGCTATCTTTGTACGTTACTGATCAATCCAATTCTAACTTGTATCTAAGGTCTGATTGTGGATTTCATATTTTATACTTCACTAGTAATCTCAGGACTAAGAATGATGTGGGCACCATTTTTCACCAGAAACTCAAATATATAATGAATATTAAATTGAATACTTTGAAATTTTAGTTGATGGTAATAGTATACACTCACTGTTTTGTTTTTTTAATCCGGAAAAGATATTGTTTCCAAAACAATACTATCTATTGATCACATTTATGTTTTATTATGCATTTCTACTAGTTAAACAAATTTAGCACATCTCTGCAAACTTACTAATGGAAATTACAACACAAGGAAAATGTAATCTGCAACGGCAAATCCCTTTAGACAAATGTTAATTATCAGAATAAAAGGAAGACTAAAAGGATGCATACAAATTTTTCATTTATCTTGTTTCTAAGAGTTGTTGGGTTGGTCCTATAGTGATCCTATGAAGAAAAGATGTGAACATTGTCCTATCCTGTGCCATATTCATGATCCCCAACACATTTGAGTCCATGGCTGCAAGGGACTGTGTCAATTCATCTCTCTGAAGGTCTTCCTCTCCTTTGCTCACCCCTCTACCTTTCTAAATGTAATGTCGTTTTCAAAGAAATAGGATCTCCTGGCATTTTCAAAATATGTGAGTTGAAGCTTTGTTATCTTTGGTTCCAAAGAACAATGGTTATACTTTTTCTAAGACATATCTACTTGTTGTTTTGGAAGTCCATGGGATATCCAGTGCTTTTCTCCAACACTACAACTCAAAATACATCAATTCTTCTCCTGCCATCCTTATTCATTATGTATTTTAAATGTTCTTAAAAACTCTAGAGCACATATTCATATGGCATTATTATCTTAGTAAATTAACAAAAGGAACTGACAAGATAATTTCATATTTATAAACTAGATCATTATTTTTCAGCCTTATTATTATTATTAATTTGTCTTATCTACCTGAAAATCATGTTGCAGTTTACTCTGAAGTAAACTGCAACTGATTACAGTTTACTCTGAAGTAATAACAACTGATCCTTTTGTAAGTTCAACTAATAGAGTTGAAAATGATACCTTTTTGTAATTAAGAGTATGAGAACCCTTGAATATTGGTTTTTCTAGCTACTGCCTTAGTCTCATTTGGGGAGGGCATAGTCTTGCAAATCATCAACAGCTGTGGGACCAATATAAGAGAAAGCTTTCCACTCTGTGACAGGCAGTGATGGTGATGGAGATACTGTGGCAAGGTATTACCAGAGGAATCCTGGAGGTGAAGGTTATAGTTAAAAGTTTTGCTTGCTGGATGACTGAAGGAAAAGCTTTTCTGTAACTGTTCTGAGATAAAGTCTGCTGAGTGATTGATGGTATTAGAGGTTTTTTTGCATTTGTGCTGATGAACTGAAACCTGGATTGTCACTAACTGAGGAATTATGTCTTGTTAATATAGCTTGGTACTGCTGGGCTAAACCTGGTCTTACATTATGTAGATATCCTTTGCCTCTCCTAACCTCTAACCTATTTCCTTAATAAATTCCACCACTGTGAGTAAAGTTTGTGAGTCAAGCTGTAATGTACATCGGACCTAATGATACACAGAAATAGGTGCAAGAGCATGGTGGGTGGCATGTCAGACCACACAGCTATTTGTTTCGTACTATAAATATTATTGATGGGGACAGTTCCCCTTTATGAAGGAGGTAGAAGTCAGACTCAGCCACTTTGACGTTGCATCTACTCCTTTTACGATAATAACCATATTATTACATTGTACCAGATAAAATATGTTTTAAAACTAAAAACAGACATCTGAATAATAAAAATATAATAATGATCTTACTGATAATTTATTGTAAAAATTATAAACTATAAAGTAAAACATTGCTTTTTTAAAAATAAGCTTACTTGTTGTTGTTAAGAATATACACACCAACTCAACAATTTTACCCCTCATATGGTTAAGTCAATGATACTGATGATACTCTTTCAGTTGCACAACGATTGCCACTCTCCTTTTCCAGGCTGTTCCTTGTGCATTAACATACTCATTGCCCTCTTCTCCCTATTTTTATCTAATCATTTTTGACTCCTTGCTTAAAACCAAAGGAAAAGCTTGCTTTCTTCTTTTTCTTCTTTTTTATTATTAATTTTAGTGAAAGTTTACAAAGACTTTAGATTTCCATTCATTCACTGTACTTTCCTCCCTGCCCTCCCCAACTTCGCTCTTCTCTTTGAAAAGTAAAAGAAAAATTCTTTCATTGTTATATAATCCCTCCCCCCAAGTCCACTTCACTGTTCAGCCTTCAGTTTGGACTCCAGTCATGACAATAATATCTAATCATATGTCCCTTTTAAACAGTTCTCTCCCTCATCTGTTTCAATGCAGTATACATAATTCATCCAATTTTTCTAAGTCTCCCCCCAACCCAGATGTCAGTCCCATTTTACAACAGTGGCACTATGCAGTATTTGTCTTTTTGTGCCCGAGATATTTTATTCAGCATAATGTCCTCCAGGGTCACCAATTTTGTCTATTTCATGAATTCTTTGTTTTTCAAAGCAGTGTAGTATTCCATTGTGTGAATATACCACAGCTTCTCTATCCATTTGTTTGTTGATAGACACTTATTGTTTCCAACCCTTTGCCAGTTATGAACAAAGCCATGATAAACATGGGTGTCAAATAACTGCTTGGATGGCAGTTATGGTTTCTTTGGGTTATATTCCCATAATAGTAGTGGAATTACTGGGTCAAATGGTATTTCTATTTGCAACTTTTTGCGAAAACGCCATACTGCCTTCCATAGTGGTTGCAGGAAAAGCTTTCTTATAAAAAATGTAAGCCATGAGGTTTATAGTACTTCTGGAAACATCTTTATTAAACATATTTCAGTGATAATTGCTTGATGATTCCATGTTCAAAGTATTAAACAAACTATAATGATGGCAATTGTACATCATGAAAAATGAGAATCTGACAAGGTAATGTGATTAAATATATGATATTTCTCCTTATTAAAAGAATCATATTTACTAAAACTTACCTGTAATAGGAACTCTCCTTCCTGCAAGTTCAAATCTTCTCTGAGTTTGGTTCTACAGTTATCTTGGCTTCCATTTCTGTCAGCAGGGGAAGACTTCAATGCAACTGTGAGGACAAGGAAACCCATAAGAATAAAGTTATATAGTGCATTAGTTTTTTAAAATAGGCACTTGCCCCAGAAACAACAGCGAAGTCCAACAGGGTAGCAAACAACAAATCCTGGCAAGGTTGTGGAGAAATTAGAACTCTTATTCACTGCCAGAAGGAATGTAAAATGGTAGAGCAGCTATAGAAAGGAGTCTGACACTTTTTCAAAAAGTTGGAAATAGAAATATCATTTGACCCAGAAATTCCACTACTGGGAATATACCCCAAAGAAACCAGAGGTACAACTCAAACAGACATATGCACACCCACCTTCATTGCTGTGTTATTCATAATAGCAAAGAGATGGAAGCAACCCAAGTATTTATTAAAAAACAAATGGATAGAAGACCTATGATACATTCACACAATGGAATATTATGTAGCACTGAAAGACAACAAACTCTTAAAATATTACACAATAAAGGGGAGCCTGAAGGATATTATGCTGAATGAAATATCTCATTCACAAAAAGACAAACACTGCATAATACTGCTGTTATAAAAGAAAACAGGATATACATGGGTGTGTTTGAAAAGAGTGGATAATGAAGTTTGCATTAAAACAGATTAGAGGAAGAACTCTCCAAAGGCAATACATGATTGTTGTTGTTATTGTTATGTGCCGTCGAGTCGCTTGCGACTCATAGCGACCCTGTGTACAACAGTCCTAAACTCTGTTCTGTCCTGTGCCAATCTCATTGTCTCCAATATTCTCATCCCGATTACCCCAGTTACAGAATCAATCCACCTCCTAGAGGGCCTTCCCCTCCTGTGCTGTCCCTCCACCCTCCCAAGCATGATGTCCTTCTCCAAGGACTGGTTTCTCCTTACAACATGATCAAAGTATATCAGACGGAGCCTCAGAATCCTTGCCTCCAAGGAGCAGCCTGGTTTAACCCTTTCCAGGATGAATCTGTTTGTTTTCTTAGCAGTCCATGGTACCCTCAAAGGCATCAATTCTCCTTCTATCCTCCCTAGTCACTGTCCAATACATGATTAGTCATTACATATATGACAACAATTTGGAACAAGGGTTACAATGTGGGGTGAGTTGGAGGTGGGGGAGGGTTTGGGCAAAGAAAATGTTCAACAATGAAAAAAAAATACCAAATATTATTTTAAACCATACCCCCCCAAAATAGTCAATTTTAAAGAGTTAAAATAAAAATAAGTCTTTGTATATCAAAAATGAGGTAATTAGGAATACTGGTATACACAACAAAAACAAACCCTACATTAATGGATGGATATGGTTAGTTAACCATACAAATGTGTAACTCTTTTGCCAAGTGGACAGACTGTTGAAAATCTTTTTAGTAAGTTCACTATATGACTTTTGGCATATACACAGGCGCTTCAAAGAACTGCATTCACACTATTATAAACTCTTCTATCCCTAGCTATTCAATTTTGAAAGTAAGATTCCTCAGACTTTACATCTACAAAAATAATTTTAAAGTGTATATCTATACATCAAGAGACATGTGAAGACATGAACACTTAGTCAAAGTTGTTTTTTTAAAAAAAATTTAGTTTGTTATCATCATGTTAAACTTACAAATCAAAGAATTGCCACTTCACTGACAGTGTAGCTAAGATGCTGAATCATCATATCTAAGAATATGTTTTTCTACTTGTTCAAATCTTTATTATTAACTTATTGTTAGTTTTAGTATGTTTAAAAGTTATCCACAACAAATGGTTTTGACATTTTTTTTTGTTTTGTTTATTTCTAATTAGTAAAAGGTTGCCTTTCCTTCATTCTATCTTCTAACTGCTGGAGGACTTCATATATGAAATAAGGTCTGGCAGGAGGATGGATGCTCTTCTCTACCACTTGTTATGCTTAGAATAAGAGATAGAAAGTGAGAATGCAATATATTTATAGTTTAGATGACACTATAATTTTATAGTGTCTTTATAGTAGAACTTAATAGCTATCACTTACCTAGTATGTTTTCACATACAAACATAAAAAAAAAATTTAAGTACATATGTAAGTATGTAGATACTGGGTATTTGACAAGACTGAGTTCAAATTTGAGCTATTTCCTAATATACAAAGTAGTGACGGAAATAAACTAACAAAGCAAAAACTCCATTCTTCGGGTTCATGTGAAGAATAACAAAATTATATGAAGTTCTTGGTATACAAAAGGTAGCTTTAATTATTGTCAGTATTTCCCACAACCTGCGGATTAAATACTTTGTAATAAGTCTATTATCACCTTTCCATGTTTTTATGATTTCTTTATAACATAATATTTAAATTTTATAAAAACCCTCCACTAAAAAAGGTGATTTTTACATTTCTTTTAAGACATTTTAATTGTTAAGCTTTTACACACATAAAATTACTTGGCTTAAATTTTCTCTGAATTTGAGTAAAGCATCACACATCAAACGTTTTAATACTTGTTGCCTATTTTCTGGTAAATTAGAAATGCTTTTTCCAAAAGAGGGAAGGGAAATTCATCAAGTGTCATTATCACTAAGAACTTTATGCCAAAAACTTTATACCTTTTTAGAACCTGAAACATATCACTTTGAAAGAGGCTAAAAATGTGGCCTCTAAATGTACCAATTTGAAGAGGCCAACGAACAGACTTCCTTAGTACAAGAAATCATGTGAGTTAAATTAATTGACCTAATAACTAATCATGACCAAAGGAAAGGCTTAATCTTCTCTTGCTCGAAGGTACATTAGAAAAATGACCTTTCTTCCCTGCATCGTTTGTTAAGGGATTTTTGTTTGTTTTTTAAAGCTACTTTCTAAGGGCAGTATATCCTTCAACATACTAAAGTCTCACAGTAAGAGTCAACCACACTCCTATTCCAAAAGTTCCAGGAGGAGGTACAATTTAAGAGTTATGCGATAAGTTCATAGGCCATGCCGTTAAAAATACCAAACACCCATTACCATCAATCTCCCACAAAAACCCTCCCAATTCCAAGCCAAACCCTTACATTTTGAAGGAAGCAAAATAAAACCCAATTTTAAAAGATCATTTCCTTTGTGGATAATATCAGTGTCAAATGTACAATATTCATTATAAATCCTGTTTCAAATTCTCATTACTCATTGGGACAGACATCAGTTTCAACTTACTTTGGTAGCAGATAAACATCAAGAGTTAATTGACAAAGAGTCAATAAGCTGTGATAAGTGGATAACTCAATCTTGCTTACTGAAAAAGAAGAGACTTGAAACACTTACTGATTATGATCAGAGTTACAGCCTTCAGCATGGCCATAAAGAAAAAAAAATTAATGTAAGGAAAATGAAAATTCTCATACTGGACCAATAAGCAGCAAAATTAAAAAAATGGAGAAAAATAGCGAAGTTGTCAAACATTTAACTTTACTGTAGGTCCACAAACACACTCATAAAAGGAGAGGTCAAGAAACAAAAATGACTCTATTACATTGGCAAAAATCTACAAAAAACCTTCTTAAAGTATTAAACAGCAAATGTGTCGTTTTGAGGATTAAAGTATACCTGACTCAAGCCACAGTAATTATACATGTGAAGGATGGACAACAAATATGAAGACCAAAGAATTGAAGCCTTTCAATTAAATTACTGGTGAAGAATACTGAATATACCAGGGACTTCCAGAAGAATAAACAAATCCATATTGGAAGAAGTACAGCCAGGATGCTCTTTAGAACCAAGGATGGCAAGATCTGTCTCATGTACTTTGTATATGTTATCAGAAGGGACAGTCCTGAAGAAGGACAGCATACCTGGTAAAACAGGATGAACAAGAGAAAGGAAGGCACTCAAAGAGAAGCAGTGACCTAAGGGCTACAACAATTGACTCTACCATACTACTAATAATTACAGTGCAGGAATGGGCAGAATTTCATACTGTTGTACACAGAGCTCTTACAAGTCAGAACAGATTCAACAGTACCTGAAAACTGTGACGATGAATAAGAAGTGAAAGAGATCATTCATGTGAGAGTGATTTATGATTTGGTTTAGAGCTTAAAGTATAGAAGTATTAGCCAACACAATCATACAGTAGACAGGCCTTGTCTTTAAAAAGGGTATGTAAGTTATATAAAGAACCAAAAAAGAATGCAAAAATTATTAAATATCAATATGAGATGTAATTAAAATGGCAATTTAAAAATGAGAAAGAATAATTTTTTCTAAACATTTACAACTCTAAATGTCAGCAAGACAATATGTAATATGGATATCTATGCTTAAAAGCAGGAGTTCTGGTGGACTCCTGGGTAAAGAGCTGCACTTATAATGCAGAGGCAAATGGTTCAAATCCACCAGATGATCCACAGGAGAAAGAAGAGCAAGTGATGTACATTCTTATGCGATGTACAGTCTCTAAAAACCTGCTTAAGTGTCAGATCTGAATCATTTCCTACAACACGCTTAAGAAAGGGACGAAATGATTACTTGCAGGGGCTTACCAAAACACATATAAATGCTTTTGTTGCTCTCTCATGTTTAAGGTTAATCACTGGTAAAGGACTTAAGTAACTACCCCATGCCAAGAGGAGGCCAGGAAGGTGCATTCCCTTCCCATTTCCAGTTTTAAAAAGTTATTACTATGGCTTTCTACAAAGCTTGCTTCAAGTCCTATCTTCTCTATCTAGTTGTATAATTGTTACCTTTCCATGAAATTTGTCCTTTATTTGTTCATCTCACATTTACTTTCTTCTTAAAATTATTGTACATTATACTAGCTAATACTATGCTTTACTCCTCTAGAATAAAAAACAAGAAGGTAAAATAAAATACTGTTATAAATATTACCTCCTGCCATCAGTATGTCTTTAAATAAATTGCTTAGTAATACTACCGAACACTTACTAAGCAAACACTGTATGCCAAGTCTTTTATATCTTATTTAATCTTCACAATACTGGAGTTCTATGAGACTGACATCATAGTCTTTTTAATAGATTAGGAAATGGAGACTTAGAGAGAT